CGGGGTTCCGTCGAACCTAATAGATCTGGGTTCGGTGGAACCCAGACGGGGTTCCGTCGAACCCAGCAAACTGGGTTCGATGACCTGAGGAAGAAGAGGAAGAAAGAAGAGGAAGAAAGAAAAAGAAAAAAGAAAGGAAGAAGATGGATCGAATTTTTTTATTTTTTATTTTTAAATATAAATAGTAATCATGTGAGTTGGCATGAGCTGTCATGAAAAAAAATTCCACATCAACACGTTTTCAATTTGTTTTTGTCATGTCATAAAAAAAACTATAAAAAATGCCACATGAGCGAGTTAACGATCTAAATTAACAGAAGGACTAACAGAGTGCATTTCTTAAAGTTTAGGGATCAAAAAAGTGCAAAAATTTGTTGAGGGACCAAAAATGTGCATTTCGTAAAGTTGAGGGATCAAATTTAGCATTACCTTTTTTTTTCTCCTTGACCAATAGAAATGTTAACTTCCACATTTCAACTCTATTTAAACGTTATTAGATTATCTTCCAAACTTATCCTTTTAACTAATATATAAAGAACGAGTTGAATCATAATTCTAACTACATCAACTAAGAAGAGGCTAACAAAGTTCGAGAGAGGATTAAGCAACAGCAGGTATGCTAGACATATTCCGTCAAGTTTTTAAGATTGCAGCCAACGATTTAACAATTTAACAATAAAATAAGTCATGCATTTATAGAAAAAATGATTTTAGGTCACCTGAATGACAAATCTTCCCTGTAGTCGACCTCTCCTTATAATTCTTTTTTTTTCTAAAACCAACATTGCTTTCTCCGGCGTCGACTTCTGCTCCCAAATAATGATCCTTTTGTTCATCCCTTTTGTTTTTACTCTATGATTTTGAATTTAGAGAATTCGATGGTGATCGATTTATGGGTTTAGAGAATTTCCTAGATTTAGGGAAAGTTCCTGATGGGGAAAGAATTTTGGTAATTATTTGTATCATTTTTATATATTAATTTGCTTTTTTTATAATAATTTATTTTCTTTTTCCTATAGGAACAACTTCAAATTGTTGAAGTGGCAAATGCTGAAGAGATTTCCTTAGCTCCTATTCCACTCATAGAACATTTTAGGCAGGGGTTAGGACGATTTAAAGGAGGATATGCTCGAGGTCTTGGGATAGGAGGACTTTCAAATCGCTATATGGAACAAGAATTAATTAAAACATGTGAAGAACAGGCGACAAAACATGCTGATGATTTGGAGAAGAGGATTTCAAATTTGGGTGATACTATAAAAATGCAAGCTGATTTAATTAACCAGTTACACAATTTGGTTGAAGATTTGCAGAATCAAGCTAATGAATACAAGAATGCAAGAAGCGAAAACGAAAATGTTTCTGGGATTAAACTATCTGAATCACAACTCCAACAAATTTCAGCTTTTGTGATGCAAAGGTCAAAATGATATTAGTCTCATTTCCATTTAGGATTTATTTTGTTATTTTTATTTTTCAGATTTATTTTAGTTGGAACAAACAAAACTTAGTTGTTATTAATTTTATTTAATAATATTTTTATTTTGAATAAATTTTTATTTATTCAAATATTAAATTATTATTTTATAATTGAAT